ATCTAAAAAATTTTAAATATTATTTGTTCAAGTAAATACGTTAATTTTTCTAAAAAAAATAAAAAGTTTAATAATTTTTAATTATTATTAAATTTATTGAATTTATTCAATTATATACATTCTTTTTTCTTAAAATAATTTAATAAATAAATGTTATTTAATATTTATAAAATATATTTATTTCATAATATATTATAGTTCGAAAAGTTTATTTTGTAAGTATAATTTTGTATTTATTTTAACTATGTAGTTTTTAAAATAAATTAAATAAATTTTTTTATCTTAGAAGACTTTTTTATCTTATATAAAATATGACAGAAATGTCATTTTTTGATGAAAATTTAAAAAATAAAAAAATAAATGGTATCACAAAGAAAAGTATTTCCGATAATCAACAAGAAATTGTGATATCGTTTTCTATTCAAATATAATAATAATGAATTGGAAAAAAATTATCAATTAATAGTTGGTAAAATACTTAATGGACGTGACACGATTATAATTACTAAGGAGAACCAATTAATAGATTTGATTAGCAGTGCTGTTAACATGGCTGACCAATATTATTTACTTGAGAATGCATTTAATGTGGTATCATTTACACTAAAGTTAGAATATTGTTCGCATATAAAATATCATGCAACAATGGTAAAAAAGATTCCATTAAGCGTAGTTGAAGATCTTACAAGCAGTACTGAATTTTTGTTTGAAAATCTATGGTTTCTTATTTTGCCTAACAATGCTGATATTAATCAATGTGATAAATATGTGATTGATGATATATATAAACTTTCAAGATATGTCGATCAATTACCCCTTTTGTGGTATGAAGCAGTTGCTTCACCCGCAATGTATGATGGTCTTGAAATTTTATGTTAATTTTATTTTAAACCTGATGAAAATATCTATCAAAAAGAAATTAATTCTTTATTTGAAAATTAATTTTAATTCTTTTAATAACTACTTTACAGATAATAAACATGTTTTAAAAGATAATAAATCGAATATTTTGAAAAAATATTTTTCTTTGTTTTTTTGTTTATTATTTTATTTTTTTATCTTTTCATTTTTCTTAATGTTATATATTTTCGATAATTATATCAGATTAAAAATCATGAAAAGATCTTTTGAGATAAATATTTGAGATATTACATATAGTATAGTAGCTAAATTGATATTCATAATTAAGTCTTTAATTTTTAATTTATAATCTTATTTATCTCGATTATTTATTTGTAATAATAAGAGTATTCAAATACAATAATAATTTTTGTAAAACAACAATAACATATTTATTTTACTATAAATTGCGTCATTTTTTGCAATCGTTTTTTGAGTGCATAAATTTTTCAGAACAAATATAGATAAGAAGAAATGAAAGAAGGATAGAAGTAGAGTAAAAATATTGAAATCAACACCATCTCTAAAATACTGCAAATGAAATATGGAAAGAATAATAAATAGAGAAAGAAATATGGATATAGAGAAAACAAAATTGTCTTCAGCATTATCTTTAGAATATCAAAGATATTTTTTTAAAAGTACTCTTCAAAATATGGGATCTTTAATTACTTATTCTATTTTATTGAAGAAATTTTTGATATCTGATAGATGATGTTGAAAATCAATTTATTCTATCTTTATTCTTCTTCTATTATTTATTATTTTTTTATGTATGTTTCATTTATGGCACTTTGAAGATAGCACTGATATTTTTTATTCTATTTGTTTTTTCTTATCATTTCTTCTCCTTATTTGTATTTATAAGAGTTGCATAAGTCTTTCAGACTTGATATATAAAATATTAATTAAAATCTAAATTTAAGTGAAAAAAATGATAATGTGATAGAAATAAAGCTAATTTAATTTGAATTTTCAAATATTTTTTAATTTTCTTATAGAAAATTTATAATTATATATATTTATAATTATAATATTATTTTTGTTTGTAATATTAATTAGTGATATCTGTTATATGTTTTTGTAATAAATTAATAATTAAATGAAAGCATATGAAAAAAGAAATTCAGTTGATTTATAAAAAAATGAATCGAATTTTTTTATAATAAAAAATCAATTG